CTCTCCTGTAGCCCGCGCCCGTGGAGTGCCTTGGCGAGGCGCCTCCGTCCGTGGACACCGCCAGCGGAGAGTGCCACCTCTTGGCGGAGCTGGCTGGCCGAGCATCGCAGTGCATCTGCCAGTGTGACTGCCACTGTCACTCGGAGGCGTCCTACGGGCTCGGCCTCTTGTCGGTGCTGTCGCTCCTGACGGCCGCCACCTTCTCGGCGTTCATCTTCGGACTGTTGCTGGGCCGCGGGTTCGGACGAAAAGGGGGCGTCACCACTTTCGAGATTGCGAGCGACTCGGTGAACCACCCGACGTTCAGCGACGATGGCGACGCCACCGTGGTTTCAGTCGGCCAGGGCCTGCGACAGGGTCCTCGTCTGCTACTCTCAGGACGCGGGCGGGGCGGCAGTGGAGTGGCATGAGCGCGTGCTGCTGGCCCACATCGAGGGGGCCAAGTGGGTCGCGCTCTCGCGGGACTTCGACATCTTCGAGGAGGATTTCGCGGGCAGCGACGGTCTGAAGCAGTTCCTCGCCAACGGGCAGGTGCCGGCGGCTCTTCAGGCGCTGCCGCTCTTCCTCATCGACCACTGCAACAAGTTCGGCCAGGATAAGCAGTATTACCTGGACACAGGCGACGACCTGTCGCGGGGCCTCCGCTCTGGGCCTGGGCCTGTGCCCGAGCCTGCCGCTGGCGGCCTGGGCGACGGAACGGTCGTTCGGGCTGAAGTGGTTCGCGCTGGAGTCATGCGGGCCGGTAGTGCATGGCGACCTCCCCACCGCCCACGGCGGCAAGGTCATGCGGGCCGGCAGTGCATGTTCAAACTCTCGGACGGCACGGTTTTGGCCGGCGGCTTGGAGGGCATGCTGGGAGGTGACGTGGGTGCTGTGGCCGCTGAGGACTCACGGATCCTTCCTATCAGGCGGGGCGGCCAGAAGCGATTCCGACGGACTTTCGTCAACGCGCTGCAGCAGATGGAGGAGGTCGATTTCAAGACAGGCTGGGAGATCGATGGCCCTCGCTCGGCGCACTTCGAGGTGGAGCGGATCTTCGAGGGCAACCAGGGCCCGGTGCAGCGGCACTACTAGTGGCGCTCGGTGATGGGGCTGTCTGCCACGGACGTGGAAGTTGATGAGTATTTGCTGTTGTTGCAGCTCTTGGAGGTGGCCATGACGGTTGACCAGATGCATGTGCGTAATCTGGCGTCGGTCGAGCTCGTCAGCCGTCTGTGCCATATGTTGGAGAGTGCCTGCAAAGACTTGCTGCGGGAGGTGGACGCCGGCGGCTCGGGCTGTGACGACTGGCTGAACGAGCGCTCTCTCTTCCTCGGGGTCAAGAACCTACGGGGCAGCGCTGTCGTCATGCCTGAGCTCGGGGACTTTGTCGCGAGGGAGCTGGCTTCTCGGGCTGCCGTTCTCAAGGAGCGCCGCAAGGCGCGCGAGGAGGCCGCTCTTGCCAGGGGTGTTGGGAGCGGACCATCGGCGGACAGCGCTAAGAAAGGCTCCAAAGGTCCCAAATGTGACAAGGAGACGGCTTGGCGGCCTTGCTCCTTCCTCTCATGTGCCGCCGCGTGGGGGATCGCCCCGCCTCCTCGAGGGCTGCCGTTCGGGGTTGCAGGGCTGGCAGGTGGTGCCGCCCTGGGGCGTTTTCAGCTTCGCAGTAGATGAGGCGGCGAGACATCTTGCCGATTTCGCTGGCGGCTGCCCCGGAGGTCTGCCTGGGAGGTGCCGGGGGGCGGCTGCGGGGAAGGCGCGCGGGCGAAAGGGCGAAAGGAGTCCGGCGCTTCCGCGCGCGCGTTGCGCGCGCAGCGCGGCGCAAGTGCCAGCGGGCGGCGCGAGCGCCGCGGCGTTTGGCGATGCTTTGAAAAAGCTCGAGTTCGTGTGAGTTCTAATAAGTCCTAACATTTGTTGTCAAACTCGGGGCGCGCCCTGCGCCTCCGCGGTTTCGCTGGCCGGCGCCGCGGGGGCGCGGGGGCCCTTGTTCGCAGCGGCTCCATCTCTGCGGCTCCCGCCTTTGTCTCGGGGTCGCCCCGCTGGCCTCGCGCCTCCTCGTCTGTTGTCTTCTGCCTGCTTCTCGCGTCCTCTCCCTCTCCTTCGCCGGGCTTCGCTGGCAACTGGGGGCCAGCGGCAGCGCGCCAGCGGGCCCGTGGAGCTTCCTGTCATTCCGTGCGTGCGCGTGGGGTGTTCAGATAATTAGAGGATGTTCGCGAGAGCTCGATTGCCTGGGTTCCAAAATTCAGGGCCAGGAAGTTTGCAAATCCACGGAAAGAGCAGCCTTCTGCCTGCGAGGCTACTAGCGAACATGATTCGAACATTGGTCTTGCCGGCGGTGGCGCCGCCGCGCTCTACGACGGCTCCAGTGCTACTAGCGGGCAACGACAATGCGGCCATAAGTAATGCCAGGAATGCGGATGCGGTTCATCATCCGCCACCGCGCCGCTGAGCGCGGAGTGAGCGTGTCCTCAGGTCCTGTGCCCGATCCCCTGAGCCTCAGTCGTCGCCCCCGAAGAGTCTGAGGGGCCCGGGGCCCAACTTGCCGCATCTTCTGGGGCCTCGGCGCGGTTCCCCAGGGGTTTGACTCGCGGTGGCGCGCGATTTTTCTGGCCCAAGAAAGCTGCGGGGCGGCCCCAGTGAGCCCCGAAACGCTTCCAAGACGGCCCAGGACGGCTTAGAGTCGCCGAAAGATCGTTCCAATCCGTCCAAGATGGCTCCCAGAGAGCCCCGAAGGCGTCCAAAATGCTTCAACGGGCCTCCGAGAGGCCTCCCAAGGGGACCCCAAGAAACCATAATCGTTGATTTATCAATGGTTTTTGAAGGATTTCGGCGTTTTAACCTTTTCGGCTTCCCGGCGCTCCCAGACGGCCGTTGAGGCCCCCAAGACTGCCCCAGGTCGGCCCGAGGCTTCTAAGAGTGCCCACGACGGGCCAAGAAGGCCCAAAACAGCCCAAAAGGCGCCCGAGACGGCCCAAGACGGCCCCAAAAGGGGCCCTAAGGAGGGAACGCGAATCGAAAATCCAAGCCTTCCGCCCTAAGTGGAGGCACCCAGGAGGCCCCAAGGAGGCCCCCGAAAGGCTTCCAAGAGGCCCCAACAGGCACCCAAGAGGGCCAAAAGAGGTCCCCAAAGGCCCCCAAGCGGCCCCCAAGAGGCGCCCGAACCGCCTCCAAGAGGCCGCCGAGAAGCCTCCCACGAGATCCCAACGAACATCTCATAGTCTTCGTACCCACAACCCAGGCGCGGTGGCGGGAAGGGCCGAAGGCCGTTAGATAGTAAGAAAATCACGCTGCATAAGAGGATCAGTTTGGGTTCAGGAGCGGGCTCTGGTTATCTGGCCGCTCCGGTCGGAGGATCTGTTCGTGGCCGAGGTTCGCCGTGGTCAGCAAGACCCCGATCGTTGCTTTTGCAGCGCTCCTTATGGTAGTGCGATGCTTGTGGACATGAACCTCCTGGCCCCCGAAAGTCAAAACCGCCCCGCCCCCAGAACACACCTCCCCGCCCCCGCCGCTGAGCGTACCTGAGCGTATGCGCATTTCGCGCCCCCCCTGAGCCAAAACTTATCCCAAGCTTGCCCCTGGCGCCCCTCCCGTGGCCCGCCCTGGCCGGGCTCCTTCGAGCCGCTTCCAGCCCTGGCGGCGAGAGCCCCCGCGCGCGAACGCCCGAGAGCTTCGAGAGCGACGACGACGATGACGACATCGCGTAGCGGCGTCGACGATGACGATGGCGACGACGACGTCGGTGTTGCGCGGTGCTGGCGGCGGCTGCGGCGACGACACCGACGTCGACATCGCGCTGCGCTTGCGGCGGCGGCTGCGGCGACGACAACGCCGACATCGCGCGGCTCTGGCTCTGGCGGCGGCGGCGGCAGTAACGACGACGACATCGCGCGGCGATTGGCGGCGGCCGCGACGACGGCGATCGCGCGCGGCGGCGAGGCGGGGGCCGAGCGCGACACGGTCGTCGAGGCTTACTTCGAGTTCAGGCTGCACCAGGAGTTCCTCGGCCGCTGCCCAGCGCCCCCCGCCGAGAAGCAGCTGCCCGCCCTCAGGATCTGGCCTTGTCGGGGGCAGGAAGTCCTGACCAAACCAGGAAGAAGGGGTTTCCCCAAGCTAGAGAAGGTATTTCCTCTCCGAGGCATGGCCCCCAACCGGGCTTAGATCGTCCCCCTCCCTGGTCTGGTTCGAGCTTTGCTGCTCCTTAACATACGGATCCTGCCGCTGCGGGTCCAGTCGACGCTGGGGTATCGGACACCCCCGCTGGGCTTCATTCGGATGCAGTCATCCTTCGGATTCCGAGGCCTGGGCAGCGTTTCACAAATCTGACCTGCAGGGGTGGGGTTCGTGTGTGCTTGCCCCAGGATTGCCCTGAGCCACCGAACGGAGGGCTGGATCCAGAGCGACGAGGTCCGAGAGGGAAAGAGAGAGAGAGAGAGAAAGAGAGAGAGAGGGAGAGAGGGAGAGAGAGAGAGAGAGAGAGAGAGAGAAAAAATGAAAGAGCGAAAGCGAGAGGAGCAAACAAGGGGACATAGAGATAGAGAGAGAGATACGTATATCATAAGCATACGGCAGGTTCGCGCCGCGTCGACGCGGCGGCGACCCCCGAGCGGGGCGTTCAAGGTTGAGCGCCGGCGGCGGCCTAGAATCGTCGATATCGAGCGGTCTGCCCTTTCGAAATGGCGAGGCCGCCCAAGGTCGAACGACCGGGTCGCGTGCGGTCAGAGACCGAAGTCGACGGCATCATGGCGCGGGCCCGCTGTACAATTTCCAGAGGCCTGCACGCACCAGCCGGTCTGGGGCGCGCGGGGTGCGCGTGGGGGCGGCGCTGGAGGCGGCGACAGGGGCATCGCCAGGGGTGTGTGGTGGGAGGGGGGTCCAGCGCCGACCCCAGGCATCAGCGCGGACTTCCGAAAGTATTTGTTCCCTTGCCTCCGACGTCGCACAAAGTCTATGTTTCCTTGCCTCCGACGTCGCACCTTGTTCCTGACACGGGCCCCGCGGGGAGCCCTTCGGCTTTTCATCCCGAGCCGTTTTTCGATAAATTGGCGCCAGGGAGTGGGCTCCACTTGCAGAGCACGTCCAAGACTTGGCCGTCGCGATTTTCTTGCGTCGCCTGGATCTGAGTTTCTGTGCAGTTCTTCCGTGCTGGTGCCAAGAATTTCCACCACCGCCTTCGTCCCCCATCCCCTCCTCCAGCCTCTTCTTCCTCTCCTCCTTCATGAGCGAGGGAGGGGGTGAGGGTGGTGGTGGTGTATATTTTTGGGCCCCGCATTTCGGTTTCTCGGGAGTCGGGTGCTGCCAGAGGTGTCCCTGGCCCAAGGTGTCCCCAGGATTTCTGAGGAGGCCCCCACGGCCTCCAGAGCACTTCGCACGAGGCCCAGAGGGCTCCCCAGGCATTCGACGTGATTTTTCGCAACGTGGCTCCCCAGAGGTCTGCAGCCCTTCCCCGAGGCCGGTTTCCCATTCTGAATCGTTTTTTCATAGTCCTGTGCCCAGCCAGGGTCCCTGGAGCCCGACAAAGGGCAACTTCTCGTCGTGATTTTTCAGAACGCGAGGGAGCCTGGGGAGGTGTCTAGGGGCTCCAGCGTGTCGCGAAAAGCTGTGGACACTCTGGGGTCAGGACCACTTCTATCAGCATCGTTTAGCCGATCCCCATCCCCACTCGGCCATGGTATCTCAGCCCCACTACCCAGGTGGGGAGAAGTCCCGCGGAACCCGAAGGCAACAGCATATATGGTCCAGCGCTTTGGGCCCTTCCCCCTCGTGTTGATGCCTTGGCCCCCCCCGCTCCGCGCGATGGTTCCCCCCCCCTGTGGGTGAGGCGTGGTGGACCCCCACCCCCCTGTGGGCGTGGGGTGGTGAGGGTGCCGGTGCCTCCCTCCCGCCCTCCCCTTGTGGATGTGGGGTGGTGCTGCTGGGTCCGTGAACCTTCGACCCTTCGACCTGGGATACACACATTATGGATAATCGTTTGTATAATACATCTATTCAGACTAAATTGCCCATAATATTAATAATGGTAATAAGCATGCTAATATTATCAATACTCGTAAGATCAAAGCCGCGCTCTGACGGCGCATCGGCAACAACTGAAACAACATAAGCACGCGTGTGGAGCCATGCGAAGGACAACGGCAAAAACGCTGAGCAGCAGGCTTGCCTCGGCCGACACGCGCCAGGGAACTTCGTCCAGACGCTGTGTGAGGGCAGGCCGCGCTGCACATGGAGGGGGAGAAGGGAGACGACGAGGAGAGGGGAGGGATGCAGGAGGGAGGGATAGGCGGCGGCCGAAACCAAAAATCGCACTCCGAAGCAGTGTGTTTGCCGCTTGCCACTGCGCTCGGGATCCACTCAGTAGGTCTTGTAGTGCGTCAGGGCCGTTCCCCGTGACAGACAAGGCGTCGACGTGCACGTATGTATTCCACAGTAGGCGCGGCCTTCCTCGGCGCCTGGGGGCGCCCGAGGCATTATGCTAGCAGCCACCCAGCGATCGAAAAGCAGCGCTCGAGGTAAGCTGCTGTGCTAAGCCTCCGTCTGGCCAACTTGCCATGTGCATTCCATTGCTTTTGTGGTGCATGAATCGAGAGTGCGCTAATGTCTGCTGCGGCGCGCACCTCAGCACTGCGAGCGCGAGACAACAATGGCGGTGCTATTTTGAACATCTCGCGGGTGTGTGTTCGCCTGGAAACTGTCGAGCCTGTCCCGGTCTGCCTTGAGAAGCATGCGCGATTCGAGGCCGTACAACAGTTGAATATACACGCTTGTAAAACCCGGATCTTGTGCTGGTGGCTCATAGTCGCATGTTTCCAGATTCTGCGTAGTTTGTAGAAAGCCCCATCCGCTTCCCCAAGGCGTCGTGTGTTCGGTTCGGGACCTGCCGTCCGCACTTCGTAAGCCTCCCAAATCTACTGCATGATCTTCACACTTGATCGCTCCTCCGTTTGGCCCCGCCACAGTATCGTCCGACCGTGCTTTCAATCATATTGCTTTCTCAGCGCTTGAATCAAAACCAACTCTTTTACCAAATGACGCGATGATATTGACATGTTTCTGCAACGACTCCTTATTCTTAGAGATCAACATCGTACCGTCCGCGTAGAACACGTCATGTGTGATGACGCACGGCATGTCTGGGTATTTTGGGGGGTGAGGTGTGGAGACAGAGGGCGCCCTCGGGCAATTCCAGCATCTTGGGTTCTTCGGGTAGACCTGCTTGGCCCAGCTTTACCGCAAACTTCCGCACTGGGTTGATGGCCGCGATCATGTCGAGCATAGCCGTGGGTACGCCAAATTGGCGGAGAGCGAGCAGTAGTCCCTCAGGCTTGATGCGGTCGAAAGCTTCGCTCCAGTCCAACTGTGACAGCAGTTCCCCATGCTTGTCCTCCTGGTCCTCCCTGGCCAGCGGGGACAGGGCTGGTCAGACGATGCTCCTCCTGATAGCACCGGGCAGAGGTCGACGAGCTGCAGGAGCGGTGCAAGGAGCTCGCCGCCGACGCCAGCGTGGAGCCGGCGCTCCAGGCCGAGGCGGCCCGTCGGGCCGGGGCCAGGGGTGATTCGGCCCGCAACGCAGAGGAGGATGAGGTGTCGATCTCGCCAACCTTCCAGGGCGTCATGTCGACCTTGTCGATTCGAATCGATTCGGTTTTGGTGATGCCGATTTCGATGCGATGGATTCCAACTTTGGTCTGGCTCTCCTCCTGTATGCCTCGGCTTGGGCCAGCGGACGTCGACTCCAACGCCTTCGACCTGCTTGCCGATTTGATGTAGTTCGATTGCCGATTCGACTTTTCGGTTCGATTTAGGATTGTCCTGCCCTTCTCTCGTTTTGACATCTTTCGGCTTCCTGGGAGGCCCTCGTCGCCAGGGCTGGTTTCTCCGAAGAATTCTAGACGCTTCGCGTATCCCCACCAGCCCGTCCAGAAATGAGTCCCAGGGGAGTGGAGGTTATGAGGGAAGCGGGGGAGCATGCAGAAGAACAAAGGGCGGGGTGAGCCGCCATATACCCCAAGAGGGGGAGGATGTAGGAGGAGCCGTCGTCGTCGGAGTAGGAGGAGGAAGAGGAGGAGCAGGAGGAGGAGCAGGAGGAGGAGGAGGAGGAATAGAAGGAGGAGGAGATGGAGGACTGCGAGGACGAGGAGGACGAGAAGGAGGAAAAGGAGAGGAGGAGGAGGAGGAGGAGGAGGAGGAGGGGGAGGGGGAGGAGGGAGGAGGAAGAAAAAGAGGAGGAGGAGGAGGAGGAGGACAATTGCGAGCTTGGGGGCCTCTTGGGCCGTCCTTGGGGCCTCTTGGCGGTCCCGGGGGCCTCTTGCGTATCTCGGGGAGCCTCTTGTGGCCTCTTGGGGGTCTCTTGGGGGCCTCTTGGAGGCCTCTTGGGGGCCTCTTGGGGCCTCTTGGGGCCCTCTTGGGGCGCTCTTGGGGCGCTCTTGGGAGCCTTCGAGGCGCTCTTGGGGCCATCTTGGAGGAGATCTATCAAAGAAGGGGGGGTCCCCAATTAGCGCTGCCCCTCTAGAGTGCCTCGAGTCGCCTCTTGGGCCCCCCCAAGAGGCCAAAATCCTTCCAAAACCTAGGTAAAATCAATGTTTTTTGTTTTCTCGCCTTTTCGCTCTTGGACCCGTCTTGGGAGCCTCTTGGGCCTCTTGGGGGTCTCTTGGGAGCCTTTTGGAGGCCTCTTGGGCGCCTCTTGGGGCCTCTTGGGGCGCTCTCGGGGCGCTCTTGGGGCGCTCTTGGGAGCCTTCGGGGCGCTCTTGGGGCCATCTTGCAGGAGATCGATCAGAGAAGAGGGGGTCCCCAATTAGCGTTGCCCCTCTAGAGTGCCTCGAGTCGCCTCTTGGGCCCCCCAAGAGGCCAAAATCCTTCCAAAACCTAGATAAAATCAATGTTTTCTGTTTTCTCGCCTTTTCGCTCTTGGAGCCGTCTTGGGTCATCTTGGACTCTCTTGGGGCCTCTTGGGGGTCTCTTGGCAACGTCTTGGAGGCTTCTTGGGGGCCTCTTGGGGTCTCTTGGGGCCCTCTTGAGGCGCTCTTGGGGCGCTCTTGGGAGCCTTCGGGGCGCTCTTTGGGCCATCTTGGAGGAGATCTATCAAAGAAGGGGGGGTTGCTTATTAGCCCCGCCCCTCCAGAGTGCCTCGAGTCGCCTCTTGGGCCCCCCCAAGATGCCAAAATCCTTCCAAAACCTAGGTAAAATCAATGTTTTGTGTTTTCTCGCCTGTTCGCTCTTGGAGCTGTCTTGGGCCATCTTGGACGCTCTGACACCTCGCGACCGGCCCCGTCCAGGTCAGTGGGGAGGGGTAAGGGGAGGGGTAAACCCCTCCCCGAAGGGGAAGAATGGGGTTGGCAGAGGAAACTCCCTAGACCACCTACGCCCTAAAGGGCTGGTGGGATTCTGGTCAGAACGCTCACGAAGAGAGGCCCGGCCGGGGAGTAGCGATGTCGGTACCTTCTTGTCCCCGTGGCAGCGAGGGTCCCTGACATCCTCACGTTATGAAGCAAATAACGACGGGAGAGTTTTGCTCGTTTGCGGCTTCTGGCAGAACACGACTCAGGATGACATGCCCGTCCGGGGGAAGGGGTCCAGACCTTCGGGGAGCCATGTTGCGAAAAAAACGCGACGGAGGATGTCTGGATTTCTCTGGGAAGCTGGAGAAAGTGGCTGGGTCAAGCCCTTCCACTCTTTCCAGCCCTGGTCAGCTTCCCTCCAGCTTCTCCTGCCCTGGCGGCCTCACCCCAACAATTCGGGCTCGTTTCGTCCCCTGCCAGTTTTTCTAGCATAGGCTACTTCCACTTTCATGACATTTCCGCAGATTTTGCTCTCGAGTCGAGCCGTTCGGATCGTGAGTTGCATACATCATCTCATTCAGATGGCCCCGCCAATCCCAGACGCCAGCACCTTTTACGACGCCCTACCGACGCGGCCTAGACAGCGCCGAATCAGCACACGCAGGCGCCGTGATGACGCGCTGCTGGTATTTGTTCCCCAGTGGAATCGAATCAGAGCACGCCAGCGCCGTTACGACAGTAAGCCACCTGGGGTTTTGAAGCAGTCTGGTTCTGGGAGAGGGATGGTAACATAACAAAAACTTTCATGGAATTTCCGATATCCACTTTTTCCATATGTCCTGCATCCTTGTCAACATGAGGACCCTGGAGCCCTGGCGTCGCATCTTGTGTGGGCACTAGACGTTTTCGCTGCCCAGTTTCGGGCCCCAGGGTTTTCATAGATCGGTCCCGCCCGGGAAGTGCCGCGCACAGGCGGTGTCGAGGGTTCTGGCCGTGATTTAATACACGATACTGCAATTTTTGCGATGTCGTATCTGAGTGGAGGAATACAAGACTTGTGGCGTCCCAAGCAAGCAAGTCGGTGACCGTGCATGGGATATTCGAATTGTGCCAAAAGTGCAAAGCAAGAGCAAAGCAGAGATATGAGTGTGAGTCAGGAGAAATGTCAAACTATACGGAAAGTACGGAAAACATATGGATCTACTCTCCAAGCTTTTCAAATGGTCTCTCCCGTGGATCTCAAATTGGTTGTTCTGTGTTTTTCTCGAACTTCCCAATCCGGTGTTCAAGTTTTTTTCCCAACCATCCTATGGTGTTGGGTCCTCGTTTTGAAGAGACGGTCAGCGCGTTCCTTTCCTCCTCTCCTCCTCCTCCCCCTCGTCCTCTCCGCCGCCCGCATGCGTCCCCCACACCCATTTCGGCACGTTTCGTGGCCCCATAGGGAGCTCCACCGAACCCCCCAGTGGGACCGCCCGCATGCGCCCCCCACGCTCAATTTGGCATTTTCACCCACCCAGTACAGCGTGTCGTGGCCCCACAGGGAGCTCCTCCGAAACCCCCAGTGGGACTGCCCGCATGCGCCCCCCACGCCCACTTTGGCATTTTCACCCACCCAGTACAGCGTTTCGTGGCCCAATAGGGAACCCCACCGAAGCCCCCAGTGAAACCGCCCGCATGCGTCCCCCACACCCAACTTGGCATTGTCACCCACCCAGCACAGCGTTTCGTGGCCCAATAGGGAGTCCCACCGAAGCCCCCAGTGGGACCGCCCGCATGCGTCCCCCACACCCAACTTGGCATTGTCACCCACCCAGTACAGCGTTTCGTGGCCCCATAGGGAGCTCCACCGAAGCCCCCAGTGGGACCGCCCGCATGCGTCCCACACGCCTAATTTGGCATTTTCACCCACCCAGTACAGCGTTTCGTGGCCCCATAGGGAGCTCCTTCGAAGCTCCCAGTGGGACCGCCTGCATGCGCCCCCCACGCCCAATTTTGCATTCTCACCCACCCAGCACAGCGCTTCGTGGCACCATAGGGAACCCCACCGAAGCCCCCAGTGGGACCGCCCGCTTGCGTCCCCCACACCCAACTTGGCATTGTCACCCACCCAACACAGCGTTTCGTGGCCCCATAGGGAGTTCCACCGAAGCCCCCAGTGGGACCGCCCGCATGCGCCCCCCACGCCCAATTTGGCATTTTCACCCACCCAGTACATCGTGTCGTGGCCCCATAGGGAGCTCCACCGAACCCTTCCAGTGGGACCGCCCGCGTGCGTCCCCCACACCCAACTTGGCATTGTCACCCACCCGGTACAGCGTTTCGTGGCCCCACAGGGAGCTCCACCGAAGCCCCCAGTGGGACCGCCCACGTGCGTCCCGCACGCCTAATTTGGCATTTTCACCCACCCAGTACAGCGTGTCGTTGCCCAATAGGGAGCCCCAACGAAGCCCCCAGTGGGACCGCCCGCATGCGCCCCCCCCACACCCAACTTGGCATTGCTACCCAACCCAGTACAGCGCTTCGTGGCACCATGGGGAACCCCACCGAAGCCCCCAGTGGGACCGTCCGCATGCGTCCCCCGCATCCGATTTGGCATTGCCACCCGCCCAGTACAGCGCTCCGTGGCCCCACAGGGAGCTCCACCGAAGCCGCCAGTGGGACCGCCCGCATGCGTCCCCCCACAGGGATCTCCACCGAAACCTCCAGTGGGACAGCCCGCATGCGTCCCCCCCACCCAATTTGGCATTGCCACCGATCCAGTACAGCGCTTCGTGTCCCCATAAGGAACCCCGCCGAAGCCCCCAGTGGGGCCGCCCGCATGCGCCCCCCACGCCCAACTTGGCATTTTAATCCACCGTTCACAACTCTTCGCGGCCCCATGGGGGGCTCCACCGAAGCTTTCAATGGGACCGCCCGCATGCGTCCCACACGCCTACTTTGGTATTTTCTCCCACCCAATGCAGCGTTTCGTGGCCTCATAGGGAGCTTCGCCGACGGCCCCAGTGCTACCGCCCGCATGCGTTCCCCCCCGCCCAGCGCAGCGCTTCGTGGCCCCATAGGGAGCTTCACCGAATAATCTATTCACAATTGCGGTATCCACAAGTTCATATGGTTGGGTCCTTCGCCCGTTTTTTTGTGCTTTCTCTCTCCCTCTCTCTCCCTCTTTTTTTTTTGTTTTCGTATTATGATTATTCGTATTAATACCATCAACATATATACATGTATATATGTGTATATATATATATATAT